TCCAGCATTTACTAAAATGTAAACAGTTTATATATAATTCATACTTTCAGTGTTTTCAGCTCGAATATTGTGTAATTTTAGATAATTTTTATTATTTATTACATACATAAACAACATTTATATAATTTACCAAAACAATTTCGCGGTCACAACAATTTTTTTTATAATTTTGTTATGTAATATTTATTTTTAAGCGAGATAAAGCATTTTCTCGTAGCTCCAATTTTATGTAATTTCTCAATAATTCTATAAGATCTTAAGATGATCTTATCGAAATTGTGAACCTATTTGCGGTATCTCCAGTTTTCATATAAATAATTAACAAAGTTCATCAATAAATGTATGTAATGTAATGAAAAATGCAAAAGTATTTTTTTCAAAAAATCTTAACAAAAAAAGGATACTGCTTTTATCCGTTTCCTTATTAAATTACATAATTGGATCAGAAATTGTATTCTTAATAAGTAAATAATCCAAAAGTAATTAAAGAAATAAGTAAATAAATTTATCAATTTTCTTAATTACTTGTAATTGAGTAAATTATTATATCAATTTTAAAGTTATTAAAGAAGCGAAATGATAAATGTATAAAGTTCAATACTTTCAAGTTATTTATGTCCAATTGTAAGTTTAAAAATAAATCTTGCACAACTTTTTTCGTAGTTGTTTCTTTATTATTATTTTTTTTTTGGTTTCTTACTATCATCACAAATGGGGCGCAGTGTTTCCAGCATTTACTAAAATGTAAACAGTTTATATATAATTCATACTTTCAGTGTTTTCAGCTCGAATATTGTGTAATTTTAGATATTTTTTATTATTTATTACATACATACACAACATTTATATAATTTACCAAAACAATTTCGCGGTCACAACAATTTTTTTATAATTTTGTTATGTAATATTTATTTTTAAGCGAGATAAAGCATTTTCTCGTAGCTCCAATTTTATGTAATTTCTCAATAATTCTATAAGATCTTAAGATGATCTTATCGAAATTGTGAACCTATTTGCGGTATCTCCAGTTTTCATATAAATAATTAACAAAGTTCATCAATAAATGTATGTAATGTAATAAAAAAATGCAAAAGTATTTTTTTCAAAAAATCTTAACAAAAAAAGGATACTGCTTTTATACGTTTCCTTATTAAATTACATAATTGGATCAGAAATTGTATTCTTAATAAGTAAATAATCCAAAAGTAATTAAAGAAATAATTAAATAAATTTATCAATTTTTTTAATTACTGTAATTGAGTAAATTTTTATATCAATTTTAAAGTTATTAAAGAAGCGAAATGATAAATGTATAAAGTTCAATACTTTCAAGTTATTTATGTCCAATTGTAAGTTTAAAAATAAATCTTGCACAACTTTTTTCGTAGTTGTTTCTTTATTATTATTATTTTTTTTTTTTGGTTTCTTACTATCATCACAAATGGGGCGCAGTATTTCCAGCAGATAGTCCAGAACTTGTTGGGCTTTTCCCCTATCATTTGTTCGATGCACTCGCTCAATTTGTCCACGCCGAATATCCAGGAAATTGCGACGGTCTGGAAGAAGCAGACCCACAGCAGGGACATGCCGCTCGCAGAGTAATAGTCCATCAGTTGGAAAATGTACATGCCACCCTTCGAAATAGGAAAAACACAAATGAACGAAGCAGAAAACGAAACAATAAAATAAAACGTGTGTTTGTGTACAAAAGAAACATTGAAATTGGAAAAAAAAATAATGCGAATGCAAACGCAAATTACTCGAGCAAACATAAAAATAATTCTCTTTTTTGTTGTTGTTAAAGGTGCGGCTGTAAAAGGGATACGTATAGGACATGCATGTCCTATTAAGATTAATTTTATGATTTGCGTTTAAGCTACATTTCCCATGCAAATTATGTCTGTGAACTTTGATTCTTCTATTACTTTACTATGATTAAATTATCAACTTTTAAACAGAATTTTATAATCTATAATAATTACAAGTTTTCTTTAACCAAAACTTTATGAAAATATTACTTCACATAAGCAGAAACTTAATTTTTAATAAGATATAACAGTTTTCGTAATTACGTAAATAATTAATTAAATAATAAACAAAATTAAGTCAATTTAATCTTCAGATTAAGACATCATTTTTATCTATTCTATTCTTAAGATGTTGTCTATATTTTTAATTACGCACTTAATTGATAATTAAGATAATTTTTAAAGGCAAATATTGCTAATAATACATTTTTAATAAATAATAAATTTGGAAATAATTTTTTGCTATTTTTCGTTTTTAGTTGAAAATTTTATCTAAAACTGTTTGCTTTCTCCATTACAGCACTCACGAACATGTCTGCAAAAATATTGAGTTTGAATATTTGATCTACACCTTTAGCGTAATGTATTTACACAATATTTGATTACATTTACTAAAATGTAAACAGTTTATATATAATTCATACTTTCAGTGTTTTCAGCTCGAATATTGTATAATTTTTATTATTTATTACATACATAAACAACATTTATATAATTTACCAAAACAATTATTTTTAATTTGAGTGAATAACTTCAAAACTGTATATTTTATTTATAATTTCATAGAAAAAAGAATGTTATGATAAAACTGTTGTCATGTAATATTTATTTATAAGCAAGATAAAGCATTTACTCGCAGCTCCAATTTTATGTAATTTCTCAATAATCCTATAAGATCTTATCGAAATTGTCACCTTTACAGTGAATCTATTTGCGGTATTTCTAGTTTTCATATAAATAATTAACAAAGTTGATCAATAAATGTATGTAATGTAATAAAAATTGCAAAAGTATTTTTTTTCAAAAAATCTTAACAAAAAAAAGGATACTGCTTTTATCCGTTTCCTTATTAAATTACATAATTTATAGTTGATTAAAAGTTTGGTATCGGTATTAGGTGTAATAAAGGCGTGAGATGAGGGAAGAAGAATTTTAGTTCTCCACCCTTGTTTTCGCATCCAGTCCGAGAGAGTAAAAGCGGAAAATGAAAGCAGACTACAGCTAGGCTATATTTCATAATAAAAGGCAAACGCAACAAAATATAGTCCCGGGTTTTACAACCCCCCAAACGAACGAAAGGGGGGATGGGACGAGGATGTTTTGTGGAAGTTGCATAACAAAAAAAAAAGGAAGAAATAAATAAGAACTCCGTCAAGAAGTAAATGTAACGGGGGGACGAGCGGAAAGCTTCATATTAATAAGACGACCCCCGGCGTCTGCTGGGTGGTGTAGAGACGGGCGGTTGTTTGCTCTGGTTGGTCGGGTTTTGCCATTGCCCGGGAAATTGTGAGTATTCCGAGGGCACGTCGAAAATTGAGAATACAGAGAAAGAGAGAGAGCTGAAACCGCTCGCACGTCTCTGCTTCTTCTTGTTCTTCCACCGCCGCCTACTTCTTCCATCCAGCACGACGCACGGAAATCGAATCAGAAGTTTCGAGTTTAAAACTTACATGTGTAACCATAGGAACTCCTAAAAGGAACATCACGACGCAAATTACCACGGTGAACTTGTTCCTGTGAGGTCTCAGGGTCTCCGACCAATTATCCACGACGCCCGTTATGAAGGATTCGACCAAACAGAACTCGCTGTCGATGCCCAGCATCTGCAAAACGCAATTACCGCATTAATTTTGCTCACGGAGATCCCTTGATCCCAGCCAGCCAGCACCGACCACACAAAATCTAGACAACACAGAAAATCACGGCTGCATCCTGATATCCTCATCATGTATAATGCATACTACATTTTCATATTATAAACTTAATTAAATCCCTATTTTTTGTTTCAACCGTAATTAAACAACAACTGTATTAATAATTTCACTCCAATCATCAAATCTGAAGTAGATTTACTTAAAAATAGGGGTAGTCAATATGATAAGGATCCGAGTTGTAGTATACATGTAAGAGGGTTTACAGCAGCGGTCGGGGAACCGGGGTAAATTACCCAAAATGGGGTAAAAATGATTTTTTTTGGGTAATTTTTCTAATTTC